TTTCAGGGGAACTGCAGACTGATTTTGGCTATATTTTGTGTGGCCTCCGTGTTGAAAACAAAACTGGAGGCTGTATGTGTGGTAGAGGGAGGGTGATGTAATGGCCATGTAACACTCGCTGGGACTCTTGCGCTGTCATTAAACCCTGTAATACATGTTGACTGCTCTGGCTACTGCTGAACATGACATACAGGCTGCCGAGAAGAAGAACCTGTAATCACAAGGAACTCCTATTAGCAGGGAAAACTCAGGTATGGTTGGGGGTAAAGGAGAGAGGCAGCTGTCTCGTCTAAAGCTTAAAAAAAAACCAAAAAAACAAAAAACAAAAACCAAAAGCAAACAAACCCAAAGCTGCTGTGTTGTTTTGCTTAAAACTGCACTACTGCAAGTCCAAATGATGCCTTCAGGTGTGTTCCCTTGCATGTTGCTGCAGTGAATTATTCCTGTGTTGCCCATTCTTCCAGCTTTGAGTCTCTTCAAAGCTGTTGTTACCCTGAAGTAGTGTCTGCATTCATTATCACCTCTGCACTTTTTCTTTTGGCTTTCCCTATTTTGTTTTTTGTTTTTTTTTTTCTTTTTTGTGTGTGTGTTGTGCCTTCGCTCACAGTCTAGGATGAGCCAGAGCGGAAACCTCTTCAGTGTAATTGATGCAGAATGGAGCCTATTTCTGTCCAGAGTCCTCTGGTCCTTCAGTGCTTCCTCCAGTCTCGCCTGTGACGGGGGCCTTTGGAAAACTGTGCTTCTGTATTCCTTAATTAGCTACTACTTAGGGTCAGACACAGCTTTGTCTTGCATACCAGACTGCTTCTGCACCTTGTCATAGGGGGGAAAAAGCACTGTGGAGGATGGGTTTTGACTTGCGAGCACGTGTAGCGGGCTTAGCGTTTGACGTGGGCTCAAACTTCTGCTTTCAGTGTCTCTGCGCTGGATCAAACTGCCTCCAGTGTGGACAAACAGCCGAGACCATGTGAGAGAGGTGCCCTACATGAGGTATGGGCACTCAGCAGTGCTCATAGATGACATCGTCTACATATGGGGTGGTCGCAATGACACTGAGGGAGCCTGCAACGTGCTCTATGCCTTTGATGTCAGTAAGTTCCAGCTTCTCACTTTTCCTTGTCACAACTGTTCTTGGTGAGTCCTTCTCTCCACCCCATCCCATTGCTTCCCAATGTGTTTTCCGGTCCCTCAGTCTCTCTACAAAGTGACAGTCTGTAGGAGATGGTGCAAATGGGGAATTGGTGTTGCTGGCTGTTTCAGCAGGTTTAGAAGAGGAGCAGGGTGGCCAGTATGTCTGCACACTTGACTCTCTGTAAAACCCTTTGAACAGAGATTACTGAGCTTGTCTAATAGTCAAACTGGCTTTAATTTTTCTATCAGCTTTGTGTGCCCTCTCTGATAGTAACTACAAGTGAAGCATTCTCTCTGTGCGATGTATTATTCATTAACTGTGGCTGAAGGTTGCAGCAAGAAGGGGCTAGAGCTCTCGAGGATTGTGGTTCATCTTCAAGGTGGTCCTTCTTTCTGAAAACGTGAAGGAGAGTGAGGAATAAAACACAGAAGTAGTCGGGGACAGAATGGCAAAATAAGGGAAGGCATGAGTCAAGTTAGATAAACCTGAAAGATAAACTCCTTGAGCCTTTTGGTTGGCTTCTCCATAGTGCTGCTGGAGCACCTGGGGACAACAGGCACCATTAGGAACTGGGTGGACACAAGTGTCGGGAAAGGAAGGGAGTACATTTGGATTCTGGAGGCAAGTGCATCTAAACCCTGACCAGTAACTGTCTTGCTGGACTTGCCAGGAAACTGCTTCCTCTGGTGCTTGGTCATGGGTTCCCTTCTTCGCCAGAAAATGTTTCACAGCTTGGAGCTGCTCTCTGGGCACAGGGTTTCCCCCTTGCCCTGACACATGCAGCTAGGAAGCCACCAGTAAACCTCTGCCTAAGCAGAGGCCTTGTACTGGGAGCTGCCTGGTCTCTCTGGCAACTGCAGCGCTTTAGCATTAAGTGAAAATTATCGGAAAGGCCAGACTTTGGTCGCGGTCTGAACCCTCTGCAGCTGTCTGTACACGCAGTGCCTGTCCCCTGCCAATCCTGGAAAGTGAGGCTGGCAGTCGCAGTCCTGTGTCTGTGGTGTGAGTTCTACTGCAGCAGTCACATCAGGCTGGATAAAGTCCTGGCTGAGTACCATTTTGTCTCCCGGGGTGCCAAGCAGATCATGAGTCGAGGTCTTTTCCATCTCTAACTTGACGTGTTGCAGTTGGATGAGCTCTTGGTGCTGTCATGTGACTGAGCTTAGAAGCAGCCCCGTGAAGGAAAAGAACTTGATAGCTGCTGCAGCTTTCTCACTTGAGGCTGCCCAGGGATTCTGTTGACCTTGCAAGACCCTTTGTGTGGTTCCAGCTGGAGCCTAGGTGCATAGCTGTGGCCGCAGGCCAAGTTCAGAGAAGTTATCCTCGCGAAGAATGTTGCTTTGGCTCCAGTGTTACTGCTTCCTGAAATAAGCACTGCTCTGGGCAGCTCGCAACAGTCAGGGAGGGTGCGGGGAATGTCTCCTGCTGCCTCGAGGCTTATCTGTGCCTCCCTGGGCTCTTGGGACAGGTGCCTGTTTGTGCTTGGCAGTGAATCGCTGGCTTGGCTCCACGTTGCCCTGGCATGGAGAACGGCTCTGGCTGGATTTAAAGTCCTCCCCTAAATCAAGCCAACCCCTGGAGTATGTGGGCTAAGGGGCTGAATCTGGCTGGTGCAGGCTTACAGGGAGCAGTGCGAAGGGAACTGTGAAGGGTGGAGAGTGAGGAAGGCTCCCCTTGCAAAGGGGATGAGCATGTCCCAAGAGGAGCAGATAAGATAGGGAGAGCTGTGCTGAGGAGGCGAGGATGCACGCAGTAGCTCTGTTGACATGGTGAGCTTGTGGTTAAGTGACTTCTGTCTGGATTTGAGAGCGCTGTTTTTCCTCAGTCAGTTAGTCAGCATCTCCACGCCGTGAGGTCGGTTGAGCCACTTAGCGTCATTGCTTTGTTGTAATTGAAACTGTAAGTGCAGAGTTGAGAAGTGACTCACCAGTAGGCCTTGCAAGAGATTCAATAAAAATAATATTCCTCAAGCCGTGCTGGACAACTCACGCTTCAAACGTGAGCTGTTTGTCAGGTTGGGCAGAGCCAGTGGCCATGCCCAGGAGCTGAGACCTCTGTCATCGTACCTGTTTGTGGAGGCTCGAGCAGGTAGCCTTGCCTGAAGAAGCTTGCAGCTTCTCTGGAGAAGCAGGTGCTGTGTGTGAAAGAGAGCAAGATTGCTGTCTTAGAAATAAAGAACAGTAGTAAAGAGCTATCCCATCCCAACATCTGCTGTATTTTCTTAGCATTGCCTCCTGTTTGGTTTCAGACACGCACAAGTGGTTCACGCCAAAGGTGTCTGGAATGGTCCCAGGCGCGAGAGATGGGCACTCAGCTTGTGTCCTGGCAAAGAGCATGTTTATCTTCGGAGGCTACGAACAGCTGGTGAGTAGTCTCTGTGACTGTTATTTGGTGATCCCTTGGGAAAGAGGGTGTTCCTACCCAGAACACTGGTAGAGGCAGGATACAGGGGCATATTTGTATCCATAGTTGCTTTCATTTTATAACTCAGCAAAGTTACAGCATTAATTACCCAGGTTATGCTCGTTTTTTTGCAGAGAAGATGGTTGGGGAAAGTAGGCCTAAAAAAAAGTTTTGTTTTTTTTTTTCTTCCCCAAAACATGTAGATATATAGAGGTAAAAACATAATTATTTAATATATAATTTTTTCCTGGCTCATTTCTCAGCCAAATTTAGATAGATAAATATATAACATTTTAAATCAATATATATAGATCTACAATTATTTTAATTTGACTGAGAAATGAGCCAGAAAAATCACTTTCCAATGTCTGTAGTGTTGCTGTGAGATTTTGTCTTGATCTGGTGCGTGTTCCCTGTATTCTGTACCTGCCTTCACATTTTGCTGATCCCCTCCAGCAAACACTTGCCCTCCCATTAAGAATATCTTGAGCCAAAGGTCATCCTGCACTAGCTGTCAGTGTGCCTAATGCTCCTTTGAGCAAATCCTTATACTCTGATCTTAAGACGAGGGTAAATATCATTTCAGCCTGTCACCAGGCTCCAGAAAAGCTTTGGAAAGTCACCTCTGTTTATTTGGAAGAAAGCTAGGGCTCTATTACAGCACTCCCTGGGTTATTCCCCACTCTTTCTGACAATAGCATGCCAAAACCGTGGTCTTGATTGCAGCAGCAGGAGCTGTTCAAATGTGACTTGTTTTTACGAAGACCAAGCAAGTCTGTCGCTATCTTGCTGCTATCTCCCCTGCCTGGAGGAGCAGGAGGCTGCGCTGTTCGTATGAACGCAGGCTCTTCCAGGCAGCTAGCTGCAGATGAGTTTTGTGGGATCCTCAGAACCCTGAGTGTATTTGCTCCAGAATATTTATCTTCCTAGAAGTAATCTTAGCTTCTGCCTCTCATCAGGTGGCCTTAGCAGAGCCAGTTTGACTGTCCTGTTTGTGCCCCTTTCTTCTGTTGCTGCATGGAGTGGAGGGAGGTTTCTGCTGTGAATGTATGTATTGTGTGCAGGACAGCCCTGGGGAGAGGAACGGAGCACCAAATAAATGGGAAAGCTGCAGGAAGAGACAGGACACCTTTGAGGAGAAACGGGCTTTGCCTCCCTCTTAAGTGATAAGTGTGCTGCTTACACTGATATTTTGGAGCAAGCACCGTGTCTTTTAGGAAGTACTGACTCCAAAGGATGCTCCAGGTCTGTAGGACAGCGTCCTTCCTGGGACCAGATGTGACCAGGCTTCCCTGCTGTCTTCCAGGCTGACTGCTTTTCAAACGATATCCATAAATTGGACACCACAAACATGATGTGGACCTTAATCTCTGCCAAGGTCAGTGTCTGCGTTTCACTCTGGTGGAAGTCTCTTATCTGCTAGTCTCTGGGATAGCTGCCCACACTTGTCTCACACCTTCTTTCTGGTGTGGCAGGGGTCTGCAGGAGGGGAAGTTCTTCAGGAGAAGGCAGCCCCCGCAACTTCCTCATCAAGATGTGTCATCTCCCTGGGTAATCTGCATTCTGTCTCTTGTTCTGGTTTACTCTCTCCCTGCAGGGTACGCCAGCTCGTTGGAGAGACTTCCATTCAGCTACCATCATTGGAACAAAGATGTACGTATTTGGTGGCAGAGCTGATCGTTTTGGGCCATTTCACTCCAACAATGAGATCTACTGTAACCGCATTAAAGTATTTGATACAGAAACAAACTCCTGGCTGGACTCCCCTCCAACTCCAGTGCTCCCTGAAGGCCGACGGAGCCATTCAGCATGTAAGTGTGGGTCTGCTGAAGGAGGAGAACAGAGGAAGGAAATTCCTGCCTGCCTCAGAAGGGGTGTCTGGCCCTCTGGGTGGAAATGTGGCTTAGCAAGGGGTGCACAGAGCCTGGCTTCTGTGGAAAGCTTCTGCCCACTGAAAAGCCTTGCGCGTAGCCCTGCCCGTGAAGGTGATGTAAGCAAAGGTGGATAATCAGCACCACTTTGCTTTGTGTTTGATGTTGGGACAGGGACCTGCTGGGCTTTCCCTTGGGTGGCACACTGATGTCTATGCTTACTCCCCACAGTCAGCTACAATGGGGAGCTCTATGTATTTGGTGGCTACAATGCACGCCTGAACAGACACTTCCATGACCTCTGGAAATTCAATCCAGGTATTTATGCTTTTAATTTGTTGCAGTGATAGTGCTCAAGGCCTTCAAGTATGTGACTGCTCGGATGAGTGAACTCTCCAAGGGCTAGGAGCCTGCTTGGGGGGGAAAAGGTTCTTCTGACAGCATTGATAGGAACTTGCTACTGTGCTTGGGACCCTTCTTCCTCCTCAGACTAATTCCAAATCTGAATTAGAAAGCAGATAAGGAAGTATTGCTGAAAGGCACAGCTAGTCAAAGGGTGGTTGGCAAAGCTTTATCTTGTTCTTAAATATGCGGAAGTGTTGGCAGAAAAGAAGATATGGGGAAGCAATGGGGTTAGGGGAGCGAGAGACCGTAGCTGGGGAAACCACTCTACTTGAGCTGCAGGATCGTCGTACCACACTCTCTCTTGGTACCAGATCAAACTGTGCAGCAGAAAGGATGGTTCTTCAGCTGGTACCCTATCAGTCAACTGTGAGCTGTTTTGGGGTCCTCAGCCCTCAGGCACTTTTCGCAGTCCCTTAATTAGACTGATTTTGTTTGCTAATTGCTTTGCATAGTAAAGTTACCTGAAAGCAGCCAGCTTGCTGCTCCCCAAGCTGATCTACAAGCTAGCGTGAGAGCTCCTGAAGGTTTCAGTTCCCTTCATTAGTGATTAATCAGCATCCTTGCCACAGAGAGCAGCAAGGACAAAGGCTGCTGCAGTCTCCGCTCTGCGAGGATGCTCTGCATTCACAGTGGCTGTCAGCAGATGGAGCTGGTCCCTGGGTCTCCCTCCAGACCTGGACCTCAGCAGGGTGCTGGGGAAAGGAGGCTGCCTGCTTCTGGAGTTCTGCAGCTCCCTGTCGTCTGCGACCTGCTGCTGTAGCAGCCTGCAGATCCTGGCACTCAGGCTTTGCAAGCAAAAAGCCTCGACCTGCAACTCCCGTCTCCGCAGGCAGAGCTCCAGGGCCGGCACCTAAGCGACACTTCAGTGACGACCTCATAGGAGTGTGTCGTTTTGTAGCTAGCAAAAAGAGGTCAACAGGGAGGGTGGATGTTGGCTAGGTGGTGTCTGGGGGGCAGTGGGCCTCCAGTTTTGCTGGGATCTGTTTAAATCCGTAACCTGCTTATGCCCGGGTCTCGGCCAGGCTCTTGTGACAAGCTGGTGCGCTCTTTTCCACCCCTTAGTTTCTCTTTCTTGGAGGAAGATTGAGCCCAAGGGGAAAGGCCCATGTCCTCGACGCCGGCAGTGCTGCTGCAGAGTCGGGGACAAAATCATTCTCTTTGGAGGCACCAGGTGAGTTGTGTGGGGTGGCTCTGTGAGAGGGGTTGCTGTTCCCTTCAGCACAGTGTCCCTCCATGCTCTGCCCCGTGCTGTAGTTGGATGCACTTTAGAGGCATGCGGCAACCGTCCATCTACCTTACAAGTGTAAGAAATTGTGTAGGTCAGGGGTCCTCTGGAAAAAGGCCAAGGGGGGAGACTGAAGATGTCAGGGAAGCTTATAAAGCACCTGGTGACAAGTCTTCTTGTACAAGTAGAGGCAGAAGTATGTCACATGCTGTTCAGGAGGGGTTGTGCAGTGGTCAAGCTTTCTGTGAAAGAGGTGGTGAGGCGGAGGGAGGAGATCCTGCCATCAGAAGGACAAGTATCCTAGTCTCCTGTGCTGTAGCAGACCTCAGACTGACTTAGCTTCCCCTGCATGCTGCTCGGCTTCTCCCACCAGAGTTTCTTTCTTTCATTGACAAATGTGGTGCCTGCCAAGCTGCAGTGGGATGTTGGCTCAGCTGGGAGCTGTTTGAGGAGCCCATACACACGACAAGGCAACATTCCCTTCTGTGGCAGTGTTCCTTAGCAAAGTTTCCATTCACAAAAGGGACCTGGTGCTAAGGATTTAGCTGTCAAACACTGGAAGCGATATTGTTGGCGTGCAGGGCAGCTGGATGTGGCCAAGAGCCTTAACAGCTGGTAAAAGAAAGGAAGTGGCCCATCACCAGGACACGCTCTGTGCTGTCTGGAATGACAAATTGCATCTCTGGAACACAGGCCTGTTTACCAGCATCTACCTTGCAGAGACATCTGAAATGCTTTCAGCCCTCCACATGGTTTGGAAAGCTTTGGGGCTTTCTCTGGGACCCTGGCAGTGGCTTTTTGGGGATCCTTCCGAAGACAGGTTAGGGCAGAGGAGAAGGCAGGGCAGGTTCTGCTGATGGGCTGACCATACCAGTATGTGGTGGGGTGAAGGGCTTTCAGGCCGCTGGAGTGCTGGGAGGGCTGTGCTTAGTTGTAGGATGTCCGTGTGAGGGAGTGCTGTGTGCAGGTGAGGTACGCAGAGGTGCTGAGTTTATCCGGTCTCCTCAACAGATACTGGGTGCTGCTCTGTATGGTAGAACACTTGGTAGGGCTTGATGGCAGTTTTGGATGCTGTGGTGTGGATTTGTGTTACAGCAGCAGCTGAACTGATATTAAACCTAGGCACTCCTAGGAAATGCCAGCAAACCACAACAAATTTGACACCAGCTTTTGGCAGTTTGGTCCGCTTCTGCCAGGCAACGCAGCAGTGCCTTGTCTTCTCCACTGAGTGACTTCAGTATTTAACTTTTTCGTTAATCCTGGCTCAACCCCAACACAGGCCAGTTCATCAGCATCGGTTTGGGATGGGAAGAGCTGCCGGATGGGAAGAGCTGCCAGCAGCCAGGAATGCAGCCTGCTTGGACTGGAGAGAGGGTCTTGCAGGCTGGGGAAGGGGGAGATGGGGGTGGGGACTGTGCTGCCTTCCTGTAACAGTTATCAGGTGTATTCTGGAGCTGCCTGGTGAGATAAGAAGTTTTCCAGGAAGTCGTTGTAATGGAGAACTCCCTGTGGTCTGCCTTCTGACCTGTGCTGCCCTGCCGGGGAAGGGGAGGGGGGATCGGGATCCGGCACAGCTCTTTGGAGGGTGAGCCGGCAGGCTCAGCTTTCTAGGCAGCAGCCCTGGGGGACGGGCAGGCAAAACCCCTTTGTGTCCTGCCTTCCCTTCCAGGATTCACGTACACCGTAGATTGTTCAAGAGGCACTTCTGTAAGGTGCCTGCTCCTGTGGCATCAAAATGCGTAGTTTCTTTTGTAGTCCTGCCCAGAGCTTGGTCTTTTTGCCCCAGCTGTGGTCTCTCACTGTAGCCAGCAGCAATCCTGTCACTTGTGTCCCGTTTAAGTGACCGGGAAGTCATGTAGTACCAAGCTCAACGTTCCTGTTCTCTGTGTTGCAGTTGTGGCCCTGGTCTGGTTTCTTCCCAAACCTACCAGCACTTCAGCATGCAGAGATGAGGGAGAACAAGAGGAAGAGGGAATGCTATAAAACAGAGTTTAGCTGAACAGATGCTGATCCAGGTTTGGCTTGAGGCTGTGTTTTCTCTGACGAAGCTTAGAAATGCCTGGCTCTGGTGAGGGAGTAGGGGCTCTCGCTGGGTGCTTAGTGCAGGGCTCAAGAACATTTGGCAACGTGCTGAGTTACTGTGCAGCTGGAACGAGCAGTTTTTCTGGGCTCTGGCTGGCAAAGGGGTGCCCCACACCCTCCTGTCTGGGTGTTGCGGCTTTCCTGGTCTTGAACTCCAGGCTTTCCCTAGCTGCTTGCAATTTGGCGATTAAAACCACAGATGTGGTGCCTGCTGGCTTTCCTTTAAAAGATAAGGGATGTTCTAGGGTTTCCTGTGACGTGGATGTGAGATTAGATAGTGGCGTGGTGAGCACACAGGGGTGGAATTAAAGGGGTTTTTGCCTGTATCCGGGCAGATGGGACCCATCAGCAACGGGTCTTCTCTGCCAGCAGTGAGCTGTGCCTTGCAGTTTGTGCTGGGGCTACGGGAACCTGGGTGGGGGGCAGGTACTGCTTCATGTCCCATGAGATGTGAAGCTTAGTGGGTCATAGGTGGGGAAGTGAGTGACGCTGGGGTGAGAAGTCACTGCATGAGGTCCTAGCTAAGCAGTGAGGACATGCTAAATTGCCTCGTTGCAGCCCAAAGCAGGACTTAAAACACTCTTTTCCTTTCTTTCAAATTCTCCAACCAACCGTCAGCCATGGGAGTGCTTTCCCCTGGTCCAAGCCCTGTTGTTCCAGTACAGGCTGGTCTCTCCGTGCTAGGGGATGCAGTGACCAGTCTCTTGGGTGCTTTGGCTGTGCCATCAAGACCACAGAAGCAGGGAACCATACATGAGGCTGTCTGTTCCCTAGAAATGCCTGAAGTCCTAGCTCCTCACTAGCATTCAAGGACCAGCATCAGCACATCAGGATTGGTGTAAAATGACAACCAGGGAGCTGTGGCTGGAGCCTGCAGTGATTCCCGAGTCAGACTGAGAAATGTCTGTGCTTGCTCTGCCATGCAGATGTTTCCTAGCTCTGCTTTCTCTGCACTTCTCTTACAACATCTCAATGGCTGTGCTGAAATAATTGCAGTAGATCTTAACCACGTGAGAACTGGGGCGATGAACAGCGTGTGGCTGGGCAGAATCTGTTTCAAACTTTGCTGTTGTGCTTGGCACACAACTTCAGCTCATGCAGCAGAACCAAAATGCAGTCTAGCTGCTGGCCTAGTCAGAGGAATGCAAGCTAATAAAACCAGGATGTTTTCCTGGCTGCAGGTTGCTAACCTGTGGGCTTTTGCTGGAGAGTTTGTGCTAAGGCAGCAGGAACATACGGCTATTGCAGACAAAGAGGGA